TTTTTTTTTTTTTTTAAAGATGACCGGTAAGGGGATCTTAACCCTTGACTTGGTGTTGTCAGCACCACGCTCAGCCAGTGAGTGAACCGGCCATCCCTATATGGGATCCGAACCTGTGGCCGGCCCTCAACTAATTTCTTTCATTCATCTAGCCACTCATCCATTTATCCATCCTTTTACTTGTCTGTCTGTCTGTCCATCTGTTCTTTTATGTACTCATTCATCCACCCACCCATTCATTCACCCACCTACTTATGGACCCATCTATCCACCCACTCCCCCACTCACCTGGTTATCTATCCATCTACTCACTCATCCATCCATTCATCTGTCATTCAACAAACAGTTATCAGTTCCTGGAACACGTCCTGACAAGTATGTAGTTATACAGGGTCACGCAGATGTGGCCCCCACGCCGAAGGAGCTCACAGCCAAGAAACCACACCCCCTAGCCCCACCTCCATTCACCAAAGGCTGGGTCCTCACCAGCCTCTCCCACTTGAACATCCCTGGGAGGATGGGATTGGCATCAGCGGTGCAGACGATGTCCACAGAGCCCCCGACATTCACCTCAGTGGGGTCCTGGAGGGTGCGGATGGTGGGAGCATCTGGTGGGAGACAGGGTCTTGTGGACCGCACTTGGGCCCAGACAGGCCATTGGGGAGAGGGCCCCAGGTGGGAGGGGAGTCAGAGGTGTCTAGAAAAGTTATCGGTGTGGATATAGCCTGCCCTTTATGTAGAGCATTTGGAGGAGAGTTCTCAGGGCTAGCGAGGTTGTCCCTGCCCTCTGCTGTGCCTCTGCGAAGATTAGAGTAGGTCGGGCGGGATTCCAGAATTGTGTGGGTGTGGGGCTTGCACAGTGGGTTTGGCTTCCTGACGGGAGCACCTCCCATGTATGAGGGCCCCCTCTCTGGGCAGAGCTTCTAGATTGGGTTTCTGTGCTGGGCAGGGGTTTCACAGTGGGCATGGCTACTTCACAACAGGGGCTTCCAGAGAAAGGGTTCCAGAATGGGTGGACTGGAATCCCTGGGTGGACGGAATTCCTGGGTGGGCGGAGCTTCCACCATGAGGAGGCTCCATAGCGGGCGAGATTGCTTGGGTGGGTGTGGTTTCCATGGCGCGCAGGGCTCCCAGAGCTCCCGGGTATCCTAGAGTGCTGAGGAGGCTCACAGTGCACGTCCAGCCGCACCAGCGCTTCAGCGGTGCCCTCCGAGTTCTGACAGTGCAGCTGATAGAGGCCATCATCGGCGCGGGTCACATTCCACAGATGCAGAGCCCCGCCAGACAGGATGCGATGCCGGGGGCCACCAGCTGGGGAGGGCCAGGGTAAGGCTCCCGCCAAGCCCTCCCGTACCCTGGGACCTGGACCCCTCTCTACGCCCACTTCGCGCACCTGGGCTGAGGCGATAGCCGCGGAAGGTCCAGTTAAAGGCCTCGGGGGCGGGGTTAGCAGACACGGACACAGGCAGCAGTGCCTCGCCCTGTTCCACCGCCGTCACCACGAGCACCTGCTCCCCCAGGAACTCTGGACGGTCTTCGGAGGGCGCGCCGCAGGGGAGTCAAGATTGTTGTTAAGGTCGGGGTCAGGGATAGATTTGAGATCAGGCACAGTTTCAAGGGTTAAAGTCGGGGTCACGACCACGTTTAAGGTTGTGAACAAGGTAACAATTAAGTTCAGAGCTGAACTCAGGGGTAAGGTTCGGGATAGAAGTTAGGATCCAGTTTAGGAAAAGGGCAGAGGCCAGGGTTAGGTTTAAGGATGGAGAGAGGGAAGACGGGGGTCCGGGGTTAGGATAGAGGACAAATGCAAGATGGCGGTCGGACAGGAGTTGGTGTAGGGCCGAGAGTCAGGATAAAGGTCAGGAAAGTTTCTAGGTTCAGGATAGGGGTCAAGGACAGTGACAAGGTGAAGACCCGAGTAGTTTAGGGTCAGGAGGGGATCAGGAGGGGTTCCGGGCCGGCGCACATACATAGCACGTTGAGGCGGTAGAAGGCGCTCACGGTTTCGCGGAGCTCTGCGCTGTGGGCGCGGCAGGTCACACGGTGGCCGTGGTCGCGGGATGACACTCGCAGAAGGACGCTTCTGGCCGCTGCGGAGCCTTTGAACGGGGCGCTTCGGGGGGGTGCGGCCACGCCTTCCAGCCTATGGACCGGACAAGGGATGGTGGGGGCAGGCCAGGGATGGTGCGGAGGTGGGACCAGGGCCAGGGGCCGGAGGGATACCGGACGGGGCCGTCGGTAGGGCGGGGGCGAGACCAGGATGTAAGGGGGCGCGGCCAGAGCCAGGGATAGGGGGCCTCTCGCAATGTCACCTCTGCCCCTCCTTGTCCCACGATAAGTTGACCGGCGGGTTGCTGCTAATGCTGACGCACGTCAAGTTTAAGGCGTCCCCTGGACGCAGCGCCGACGCGTTGGAGAGGATTGTCACGTTCGTTGGGGGAACTTAGAGGACGGGTCGGAGGAGAGAGGTTGAGGCGAGGCAGTGGCGTGGTCTGCTTCCGCCCTGCCTGGACCCCAGGCTCCGCCCGCCCTGCCCCCTTCCCCCC